CCAACAGAAGGATTAAAGGTTCTCTTCAGTATCCACCCATTCTTTCACCCATCCATCTACACATCCATTGACAATTCCATCCACTCATTCTTCCATTTGTCTATCTTTCATCTGTGCATCTATTCATCCATCTATCCATCCATCTTTTCATTCATCCTTCCAACTGTTCTTCCATCTGTCCATCCACCCACCCATTTTTCCCTTTCTACATGTGTTAAACACTTTGGTTGGACATGACCCAACATGTCATGTCCCAAGAAGGGCTTCCTGATATTTCACTAGCAATGATGGTTTAGAGGACTGAATGATGAAAACCACTTCAGGGAGTACAGTGACCACCAGGAAGAGACTGGGGATGGGACTCATTTATTCATTTAACAAACACCATCCTGAGTTCCTGAAATTAAAGCAGACCTACTGATATTTCCTGCTAGGATCCCATATCCTACTAGGGTTACTGTATCCACAACTGTAAGCAAATTTTAAGACAAAAACCCAGGGAAGAAACCCCTGTCAGTAGGGGAGAAAATTTAAGGAGGAGTTGGTAGTTAAACTGGACCTTGAACAATCTATAGAATTTAGTCTTAGTATGCTGGAGGGTGGGATAGATAGAGAGGAAGGAAGATTCCCAGGGCTCTGTGGGGATGTTGGTGGGGAGAATCATTTCATTGTCCAAAGAATTTTCTGGGGGAAACACCTACTTATCTAAAAACTCCCCAGAGTCATATGAAGTGGCAACATACAGCATTCTCAGGTTGTTATCCCAATTGTATCCACCATGTTTGCGGGGTGATAGGAAGAGTAGTTTTTGATTTTGGAATCAGTTAATTTATTGAATTAAATAACAGCTGGGCTCCTTCTTTGCTGTGTGACCTTGAGAAAGAGGTTTCCCCTCTCTGAGCTTCAGTTTCTCTCTCCAAAATACAGAGACAGTATCTTGCAGGGGTGTAGTGAGCTTCCAAGGCAAGGATTGAGCAAGTCCTGGTCCCCTGTGAGGGCCTAATAAATAGGAACTCTTCTTAATATGATTCCATTTCCTGAGGGGGCCCATCTTTAAATATGCTATGAAAATCGGTGGACAAATCTGATTCACTTTACAGAAGTTAACTCAGCAGCTTCCTGGGAGAAAGCAAGGCAGCTCTGTGAGATGTGGTTTGTGTGTGTGTGGGGGGTTGGCATGAGTTCACTGCCTGCAGAAGTGGAAGTGTTCGCACTCTGCTGAGGAAATTAGAGAAGGCTGAAGGGTTTGGGGTAGCAGAGTTGGTTTTTTTTTTTTTTTTTTGAGACAGAGCCTCAAGCTGTCCCCCTGGGTAGAGTGCCGTGGCATAGCCCACAGCAACCTCCAACTCCTGGGCTCAAGCGAGTCTCCTGCCTCTGCCTCCCATGTTGCTGGGACCACAGGCGTCTGCCACAATGCCTGGCTATTTTTTTTTCGTTGCAGCCTTTATTGTTCTTGGCGGGCCTGGGCTGGATTCGAACCTGCCACCTTAGGTATATGTGGCTGGCGCCTTAGCCACTTGAGCCACAGGCGCCAAGCCTGAGCAGTTGGTTTTTATATCTTATCCTCCATCCCTGACTACAAGGATGAGCTCCCATCTTCTCTTCACAGATGAAGAGACTAAGAGGCTCAGGGAGGGGGAAAGTGACTTGCCCACGGTCACCCAGCTAGTAGCAGGGGCCAGGCCTTTCATTCAGGTCTGTATGATTCTTGGGCCCATTGCAAGGGGCATGTGTAGGGTGGGATAAGTGGCTCACGGGGTTGCTATGAAGCATGTGGCATGACGCGGTGGGGGGGGTGTGTGCTGGAGAGAAAGGCTGGTGAGACAGGCAGGGCCACTCTACTTGGGACCTGGAATGCCAGGTGAAGGGGCTAAGACCATTGTAAGAGGCAAGGTAGGATCAGGATCAGTTCTGTGGATATAAAGACTGGCTGTGAGTGGTTAGAGGCAGACTGGAATTGAGAAACCAGATTACAAGCAAAGGGAAGAGACTACAGTGGTGGTGGTAGGGGATGAAGCTTGAGCTGCAGCTGGGGCTGGGGAAGTAAAGGGGGGCTAGGTACAGAGAGTTATGAAACCAGACATGGTGCTTGGGGACCTTCGGGTTGTAGGACAGGAGGGAAAGTGAGGGACAGGCAAGGACAGACCTGGGGTCTGCCTCATTGACTGGGTAGACAGAGGGACCACTCCTGAGATGGGTTTGGGGAGTAGATGCTGAGTTCATTGTGGGGGGGGAGTCCAGATGACAGATGGTGCCAGATTAAAGCAAAAGATGAAGCAAGATATTAGAAATTTCTTTCCTTCTCTTGAAACTATGAGGAAGGCTGGGTGAGGTGGCTCATGCCTGTAACCCTAGCACTCTGGGAGGCTGAGGCAGGTGGATTGCTTGAGCTCATGGATTTGAGACCAGCCTGAGTCAGAGGGAGACCTTGTCTCTACTAAAAATACAAAAACTGAGGCAAGAGGATTGCTTGAGCCCAAGAGTTGGAGGTTGCTGTGAGCTATGATGTTGCCATGGCACTCTACCCAGGGTGACAACGTAAGACTCTGTTCCAAAAAAGAGAAAAAGAAAAAGAAAAAAGAAAAGAGAAGACACTGTGAGGAAAGTAGGGGAGAGATCTTAGAAAATCTCACTCTGAATTAACCTCTGGGTTTCAAAAAGAAACATAAAGCTGTATGGTACTAGACAAGTTATTGCCTTTCTCCGCGCCTCTATCTCCTCAGTTATCAACCTTAAAGGTTATACTGGCTAAGCTGCAGATTCCTCATAGTTTGAAACTTCTTCCTACGGTTGCTATTATTGATAACAATAGGTGTACCATTATTGTTCCTGTTTTATAGATGACGAAACTGAGGCTTCCAAGTTTCAGTGACTTGCCTGAAGTCATTCCATTGATATTGGTGGATCTGGGATGGGAACCCAGGTTTGCCTACCCCAGGGGCCACCGTTCATCTCCACTATACTGAATTACCTAGTTTTGTGATACCAGCTTTTGGGACAACCAAAATGAGATTAATTTTCTTTGGCGATAGATGTGAAACAAGTGGAGGCAGAAGGAGAAACCAACTCCATGGCACCAGTGCTCTTTAGAATGTTTCATGCCCCCATTGACTGCACGTATTTGGATCTATTGAATAGCTGGGTTAGGCTGCACACAGTGGCTCATGCCTGTAGTTTTAGCACTCCTACAAGCCAAGGCAGGAGGAACACTTGAGGTCAGGAGTTCAAGATCACCCTGAGCAAGAGCAGCAAGACCCCATCTCTACTAAAAATAGAAAAATTAGCCAGGCAGTATGGTGGGCACCTGTAGTCCCAGTAACTTGGGGGGTTGAGGCAAGAGGGTTGCTTGAGCCCAAGAGTTTGAGGTGTGAGCTGGATGTCATGGCACTCTACCCAGGGTGACAGAATGAGGCTGTGCCTCAAACAAAACAAAAAAATTATAAAAAACAGCTGGGTCAAAAATTTGAAGGCCTTTTGTTCTCCCTTGCTGCTTTCTTTTTTCTTTTTGAGACAGAGTCTCACTCTGTTGTCCTGGGTAGAATGCCATGGTGTCATCATAGCTCACAGTAACCTCAAACTCTTGGGCCCAATAGCTCCTCTTGCCTCATCCTCCCTAATAGCTGGGATTACAGGTGCCTGCAACAATGCCCCTCTAGTTTTTCTATTTTTAGTAGAGATGGGGTCTCCCTCTTGCTCAGGGTGGTCTTCAGCTCCCGAACTCAGGAGATCCACCTGCCTCAGGCTCCCAGAGTGCTAGGATTACAGGGATGAGCCACGGAATGCAGCCCCTTTATAGAGAGTTTAAATGTCAGGCATCTCAAATAGAAGCAAAACTCATTCATTGGAAGTCCCCACTTTCCCCTTGACTTCTTGCACCATCTCTCTCTCAGCTTGTGGAACCTCTGAGGCCTCAGCTTACCTGGATGAGCTGCGTTTGGCTGTGGCTTGGAACCGCGTGGACATTGCCCAGAGCGAACTCTTTCGGGGGGACATCCAATGGCGGGTGAGGGGTCAGGGCGGGGGGTCTGGGGATCCCTTGAAAGGGTATGTGCTCTCCTTCCTACCTGACTTCTGGGACACCTGGCCCTGCCTTGCATTTTGGATGTCCAGCCTTCCCTTAATCCTCCATCCATCTCTGACTAGGTCTAACCCCATCTTGTGTCCTCTCTCCCCATCTACCATCCATCTATCCATCTGTCACTCATAGCCCGGTCCCCTCATCTCCTGTCCTTAACCTGGCTTTCGGTTCACTGCTCATCTCTTTCCCTGTTCATCCCACCTGGACAGTCCTTTCACCTGGAGGCCTCCCTCATGGATGCCCTGCTGAACGACCGGACCGAGTTCGTGCGCTTGCTCATCTCCCACGGCCTCAGCCTGGGCCACTTCCTGACCTCTGCGCGCCTGGACCAACTCTACAGCGCGGCGCCCCCCAGCTCGCTCCTCCACAGCCTCCTGGACCAGGTGTCCCACAGCGCGAGCACAAAATCTCCAGCCCCAAAAGGCGAGGCTGCGGGGCCCCGGCCCCCTGACGTGGGGCAGGTGCTGAGGATGCTGCTGGGGAAGACGTGCGCCCCGCGGTACCCATCCGGGGGCTCCCGGGACCCCGGCCCTGGTCGGGGCTGCGGGGACATTGCCGAGAGTGTAAGGACCGGCGAGGCTGCGGGTGCGCGGAGGGACCTTAGGGGCCGGACCACTCGGAGAAGGGGCGTGGCCAACCTGTGGTTGGGGCGGGGCCTGTCCTTAGCGCTCTCCTCCCTTCACCTGCAGATGGGTCTGCTCTCGGACAGAGCCACCTCAGAGCTCTCGCTGGACGCCGGCCTCGGACAGGCCCCCTGGAATGACCTGCTCCTTTGGGCACTGCTGTTGAACAGAGCCCAGATGGCCATGTACTTCTGGGAGATGGTGAGTGCTGACTCCAGTCTCTCATCCTGTTCTTTTTTATTTTTATTTTTTGAGACAAAGTCTCATTTTGTTGTCCTTGATGCTGTGGTGTCATAGCTCACAGCAACCTCGAACTCTCGGGCTCAAGCGATTATCTTGCCTCATCCTCCGAAAGTAGCTGGGGCTACAGGCGCCCAGCACAACACCCGGCTATTTTTGGAGACGGGGTCTGGCTTTGCTCAGGCTGGTCTCGAACCTGTGAGATTAGGCAATCCACTCGCCTTGGCCTCCCAGAGTGCTGGGATTACAGGCGTGAGGCACTGCGCCCGGCCCTCCCCTCCTGTTCTCCTGCATGCCTGTCCTTTATGCCCACCTGGAGCCAAAGCCGAATGTGAGAGTTCCTGACCTCTGACATCACCCCGACAGGTGCCCCAATCCTCAGTCCCAGATATATGCCCCCAACTGTTTCGTCTTCCTTTTCTCTTCTCTATATCATACTTTTAAAAAAATTATTTTATTTTATTTTTATTTTTTGAGACAGAATCTCAATTTGTCACCCTTGGTAGAGTGCCATGGCGTCACATTTCACAGCGACCTCAAACACTTGGGCTCAAGTGATTCTTTTGCTTCAATTTCCCGAGTAGCTGGGACTACAAATGCCTGCTGCAGCACCAGGCTATTTTTAGAGACGGGGGTCTCACTGTTGCTCATCTGGTCTCCAACTCCTGAGCTCAAGCAATCCACTTGCCTTGGCCTCCCAGAGTGCTAGGATTACAGGCGCGAACTACCGCGCCCAGCGATACAATTTTTTAATAACTTGCTTTATGTGTATTTTGAGCATTTCTCGCTGTTCTTCCCTATAAAGCAATCTCATTCTTTCAAAATGGCTGTCTATTTAAGGAGGTTAGACATTTTCCTGTGGCTGATGGGTAATCATTTAGACAAAGTTCAACTTGCCATTTAGATACATCATTGTAGGTGTAACAAAGCTAGAGAGAAGGGAACCAGTTAAGAAGCTAAAACTAAGGTTCTCACAGGAGCCCTGTTGTGGGCCTGGACCAAAGCAGAGGCAGGAGAGATTTTGGGACACATTTGAGAGATGTTGGAGAAGTCAAAAAGAAAAAAAAAAAAAGGAAAAGACAGCATCTAGAGATTGGAACAGGATCCAAGATGCTGTCTTTTGGTTATTGAAATATCTTTTTTTTTTTTTTTTTTGAGACAGTCTCACTATGTTGCCCTTGATTGAGTGCTGTGGCATCACAGCTCACAGCAACCTCAAACTCTTGGGCTTAAGCAGTTCTTTTGTCTCAGGCTCCCAAGTAGCTGGGAGGCTCCTGCTACATCACCTGACTATTTTTTGGTTGTAGTTGTCATTGTTGTTTGGCGGGCCC